TCGGGTGACATATTTCATGATTGCATCCAGTGAAACTGGTCGTCAAGACAGGCGTGTGGCCAAACCACAACATTTGTTGTATATGACAATGAAAGTTCTTCGCCTTAAAGCTTCCGAAGGCTTGTAATGCATTTTTAAGTTCCCGGGGACCATAAACATCACACGTGTCAACCTTAAGGACCGCCTTATTCATGGAGCAGTGCATTGAGTGAAATCCATCATTCCTCAAATCAATACCGAATTCAGTACAGTATTGGCAACAAAGGAAGAGAAATTTGTTCACCATGATGCGACAATTGGGAAAGCCACTCAGTGCAAATGAGATGAAGTGGCCCCATTTGTTGAATCTCCTACATCGATTGTCAGAAGGACACAATGGCAATGACTTAACAGATCCAATCTAGGAATTGACTGCACTACAAAGAGCAACGATGATCCAGTCACGTGCTGTGTGTACTTCATCAACCTGGTTGACACGATTGAATTTCAGCACCGTGGAAGTCCTCACGCACACATCTTGCTATGGCTTAACAAGGATCCCCGGGAAGCAATCAGTGAAAGTATGCCAAAAACTACAGGTGCAACAGTATCATGGTATTCATGCCTGTACTACCATCGGCCTTTTCAGTGCCACCAAGATTTTCCAGAAGAGTTTAATTTCTGAACATGTCCCAACTAAAATTCATATCAAAAGCTTCTTTTCAGGGCAATCATAGTCATACTAACGAGTATAAACTGAGAGAACCCCGCTCAAATTCTTATTCTTACTCAAAACACAAGTCCTGCTGCAGTTAACAAATAACATTTATTATATACGACCACGTAGTCCGACGTCACCATTGCGTACAACCCTAGAGGGCTGTCCCTAGTAGTTTTTCAAAAGTTCTTTCATCGATTTATCATTTAACGTAAAATAACACCTTAGAACTAAAAAAAAAATCCGTAGAAATCCGTAGATTTGAATAAGTCTACGGAATTGCATAGAAAAAAAGCTGGCATCTCTGGATACACAGTCGTGTTTACAAACGTCGGATGTGGCAACGGGTGTGTAAGTATGAAAACGATTTGTTTCTCCTCGAACAGCAGCAGCAGGCTACGAGCAGCGCTTTGACTGGCCCTTCTGCTCTCAGCCTGAAGGTGGACTATTTGAATCTGAAAAGTGTCCGCAAGCTGGCCAACGGATTAGGGGATGGAATCACGATCGTCGATACGAAAGCAGGGGACTGTAAGGTGTGCCCAATGGGAAAACATTACCGGCATCCCAAGAAAGGTTCACGCGCTGCAGAGGTACTCCATGTGGTGCAAACTGATATCTGTGGGCCTATGGAAGTGAATTCACTCGGCGGATCGTCTTCGTTGACGAGAAATCCAGAAAAATGTGGACGTACTTTCTGAAGACGAAATCGGCGATTGTTGAGCGACAGTCCAAACGGAAGCTTAAGGTACTTCGAAGCGATAATGGGAAAGAGTATGTAAATAAGGACTTCGAGAACTACCTGATGGAAAAAGGCATCCAGCACCAGAAAACAACAGCTTACATTCCGGAGCAGAACAGCCTGGCAGAGGACGCTAACCGTTCAATAGTTGAGCGCGAACGATTTTTGTTATTTGAAGCAGGACTGGCGAAAACTTTCTGGGCTGAGGCTGTTTATACTTCTGTCTATCTGCTCAACCGATCTCCCACGCAAGGTCATGATTCGACACCGGAGCAGGTCTGGACCGGAAAAAAATCCGTATTTGGCTCACCTGAGAGTCCTCGGCACCAAGGCGCTGGTGCAATCCATGGTCGTATCCAAATTGGATACGACAATAATACGTAAGAGTATCGACTTTACGATCTGCAATCCACAAACCAGCCTAGAAGTTTCATCGACGAAGGTATGCCAAGCTCACCGGATGATACGCAACAAAGGAAACGTGGTTCAGTTGGATTTCCAATTTGCTACCACGACACCAACTATACGAACATGACGAGTTCTACACAGACTGCGAAGACGAACAAGAATTCAACGGTTTCGACGTGTCGCAAGAAACGGCGATCAACTTGACTCCTGTGCTCCCACTGCGGAAATCTGCACATCCACTTCGGTCACAGGTGTTGAGGCGAAGCGGTCGGGAGCACAAACTTAAAGGCAAGTACAATGAATTTGCAGTATCGATCAAAAGTCAGTAGCATTCGAAAGCTTTACTGGTAACTGAATCGATCGAGAACGTTCAGTCGAGACGCATCCGTGATTGACATGGCCGTAGCTAGGAGTTCACTACCTGACGGTTGATGACAGGCGATGTTAGAAAACAATACCTGTACGTTGACCGAGCTGCCAGACAGTCGGAAGCAGATTAAATGTAAATGGATCTTTAACGGCAACTTGGATCGGCACAAGGCTCGTTTAGTCGTGAAGGGGGTGGGTTATGATGAAACTTATTCACCAGTGGTTTGCCATAGTTCACTAAGATTCCTTTTCGCCTTGTCAACCAAGCACGAACTGTCAATTGATTAGATGGACGCGACCACAACATTCCTCCGAGGGGAATTATCGCAAGGGGAACGGCCTCCATGTTTCGAAAGGTCAGATCAACGAAAACTGATGTGTCGCTTGAACAAACTCTATGGGCTGAAACAGTCCAGTCGTGTGTGGAATTCGAAGCTTGACGCGGCACTTCGAAGCTTCGGAATGACCCCATCGAAGTACGATCTATGACTGTACTATCGAATCTAAGGCAATCGGATTCTGTTCGTCACGATCTACGTTGATGACGTGATCATCTCCTTTAACTGACCAAATCAAAACGAAGCTGAGCAACAAATTTTGCATGAAGGACTTTTGAAAATGACGTGATTCATTTTTTATTGAAATACCAGTGACCTACTGGGTATAATGTTCCACTAATTACACCAAAAATCTCTCATGGTCACTCCATGAGTAACCAGCTCCGAAAACTATTTTTTCAATCAAAACTTAGTAAGCGTACAAGTTTACAAGGTACTCTTTTTAGGTGGGACACCTGTAGAGATCTCTTAAAAAAAGGTATTTTTGCTATTTTTTTTTAGAACATTAGAATAAATATAATTACTTCGAATTTTCAGTTTGATATTAAGCAACATTACAGCTTTATTTTCGAAAATTTTCAGCCCTAAATAATATTTTTTCCGCTGTTGGCAGCCCTGCAACCTGACAGATGTAGGCGATGTAGGCCAAAGTGATTGCATTTATTTGAATGCTCTAAATAAATTAACAAAAAATACCCGCTTTTTGGAGATCTCAACAGGTTTCTCCCCTTAAGTGAAGAAACGTTGCTGCCCCAATCGGGATGAAAATATCGCCAAATTTAAAGAAAAAATATAGATTGACCCTAGCATGCCACAATTATAATTTAAAAGTTATAACTCAATACTCCGAAAAAATTTCTAAAATATTAATAATCGTTAAGAAGTTCCGGGAATCTCAAGGAAGTCCAGAAAACTACAGAGAAGTTCAGAAAACTTTAGAAATATTTCAGAAACTTCATGGAAGTCAAGAGAACTTCAAGGATGTTTAAACATTTTACCGGCATTTTCCGGCGCTTCATGAGAATAAGATCTTCAGGAAAGCTCCTAGCTCAGAAAACCTCAGGGCAGTTCAATTAACTTCAATTAAATTACAGACCTTTTAAAGCAGTTCTGAGAAACTCAGAAATTTCCGATAACTCTAGCCAAGCTCCGAGAGTTTGAGGAAATGTGCGGAATCTTCAAGGAAGGTCGGGAACATGCGGGAACAATTTATGGGAAGTTCTGATAACTGCGTGGCAGTTTCGAGGACTTCCGAAAAATTGCGGGAACTTCTTCCCTCTCATTAATTTCAGAAAATAAATCAAGCGATCTTTCCAGAATTCCTGAGATCTTCCGGAAAATTCAAAACAGTTAAGAAATGTTAGGCAGCTTCTCTTTCTTTGAGAAAGTTTCAGAAACACTCAGGGGATTTTAGAGCACTTCCTTGAATTTCTGGAAAACTGCAAAAACTATCAAGAAGTCCCAAGGAATTATGGGAAAATGTTTCTAAATTTGCAGGAAATAGCGTGGTCATCTGGGAAGTTCCATTAATATCAGACAAATTTGCCGGATCAATTAAGAAGTTCCGGGAGCACTTCTTGACAATTTAAGGAACTTCAGGGAAGGTCTTAGAAACCAACAAACCATTTTAGCTACAGATCAGCCTTATGCAGCTAAAAATAGGCTTATTCAGCTCTAAGTCATCTAAATTGTTTGTTTGAAAATTTAGGATAGTTTGCAGATTTTAAAAGCTTGAACCATGAGCTTCAATAAAATTTCACAAACCCTAGGAAAATTTCGGTAACTTCAAGGCAGATTCAATTAACTTCAGGGAATAGGCGGGAACTTTTAAAAAGTTCATAGAATTTCAGGGAAGTCTAGAGAACATAAGGAAAGTTTAGGGAACTTTAGGGCAGTTCCAATAACTTCAGGTAAGCTTCGAATCCGTCGGGAATGTCTAGCAAAAATTCGAGAAGTACACAGGATATCTTAAAACTGAATTTATCGTTTTGTTTTAACTTCAGGGAAAGAACGGAAACCTTTCAGAAGTTCCGGGAATTTAAGAGAAGTCGTTCTGTGGACTTCCCTAAAACTCCAAGAACTTCTATAAAGTTTTTTTTCTATAACTTCAGAATCTTCACAGAAGAGCAGTTCCACGCCAAATGACGAGCAGAAAAACTCGTCGTTCTCAGAATTTCCATAAAACTTTGCATAATTGTGTGTTACGGCCATCATCTGCATTTTTGCGGCCGGTACCACCCACCGCATATGTGGAGGGAATGTTTTTTGCAAAGTTTTATCCAAATCGGAGAAGGTCGATACTGAATATATATATTTTTTTTTCTTTTGCTATTCGCTGTTACGACTATTTAATGTTATGATTTGTGGTTTCTTAGTTTCCAAATGTTATAATTTTAATAATAAGCATCACCCCATCCTAAATTTCGTATCCTGCCATTCGCCATTCCAGTGCAAGAACCTCATGCTGGTGGAGCATCTGCCGGGTGAGCCGACCAGCTTCAACGTGATCCCGTACAACGACCCGAAGGGCCAGATCAAGCTGACCGCTCGCAACCGGGACCAGAAGCGCCACTGGGCCCAGCAGATCAAACAGGCCATGCTGGAGCACTTTGACATTCCGAAGCGGGCCAAGGAGCTGGTTCTGCAGTTGGGCGACGAAGATGGTAAGTTTCCGCCGCTAAAGAAGCAAACGTTTTTCTTGATCAATAACATTTCCCTTCCTCAGATCGCATAACGGACAAGAATGCCAGCTGGAAGTGGCCCGGGCATCATCCATCGACGCCGGATTATCTGGAGCGGAGGCAGCAGTTCCGTCGCAGCGAGATGCGAAATCGATCGAAGAAGATGCGCAAAAATACGGCCAGCAGTATCTCGTTGGACGGGATCTCGCAGAAGGACGTCAAGCAGCCGACGTTCCAGTCCTACTCGAAGGTACTGGAACAGGAGGGTGAGGGAGTGGGAGGGGCGAAGGAACCCGAGGGTACCTGCAAGTGTGATGCGGTGAAGAAGGAATTGGAACACAAGCAATTGAAGAGCAGGAGTCGATCGGAGACGAGGCTTCCGGAGGATAGGAAGGGAGCGAAGATGAGCGATGAGGAGGTGTTTGCTAAGGCGATGGCCGAGAGGAATAGATTCGCAACGCAGAGAAGGAAGACGAAGGAGAGTCTTGTGGAAGTGAAGTCATACAATACGTCGACGATACCGAAGCGGATAGCCAATATTAGAAAGACCAGATCCAAGACGTTGACTGGCAATTCGACATTCTACACGGATCTGGAGTTGGGTGAAGGTGAAGATGATACGACGGTGTTGAAGATCACCGAGTCGACGGATAATTTGAGCATAGATGGGGTAGGAGAAGGCTCGAGTGAAGTTGAGGAACCAAAAAGCGCCCAGACCAAGGAAGAGTTGGAAGAAGATGGTAGTTCGAGGAGGGATTCGGATATAATCTCTCAGTTGGTGCTGGAGAAGAGTGAATTTAGGAAAATGAGTAGACCTCCCAAAAAGAAGTCATTCGATTCAATGCGATCGTTGTCGTGTACTAGTCAAGACGAGGATAGAGAGCAAGAACGCATGGAAGCTGGCAAGGAAGATGTGATTCCTCAACCGCCGAGCACAGATCCTCCGGAGGAGGAGACGGAGGAAGATGAATTTAGGAAGGTAGACGAGTTGAACAAAGAATCGGAGGATTTGCTGAATCGGTTGAGCGAGATTCAATCCGATCTCGTTTCACCGGAACCCATCTACGAATCCTTACTGCGGAATGTTCACGTGCCGTACAAATATGCTCCCCCGCTGACACGGTCTGTATCTCAGCAATACGGAAAGGTGCTGGAGTCGATGAGGACGGATGCTTCACCGAAGAAGTCTCGTCCCGATTCGGACTACGTGACACTTGCCTATTCGGAGAATGGGCTGATCAACATCGATGGCCATGGCGTCATGCCCAAGTCTTCGATTGCACAGCTGAGAAACAGCGATACCAACATCAACTATCACCATCCCTGGCGCAAGGAGGATGAATCCGGACCCGTGCAGGACACGCGTTCCGAGATTGTCACACTCATCGGTGATGATTCCCTGAAACCGCTGGAACGACAGGGAAGCCTAAGCATTAAGTCACCAAAGAACCTGCTCCAAAGATTCATCAGTCTGCACTCTTCCCCGTCGACGACCGGAAGCTGCGACAGCAATCTCCACCAGCGTAAAATGTCGGTCCCCGATAACCCAACACCGATCTACAAACAAGGAAGTCTAGATCTCGGCTCCCGAATCGCAAATTTGGATTACGCCGACCCGCGGACGCTGTTCACCGCCAACAACCAGCCCAACATACTGATCAACAGAGCCTCAATGAAGCCCCTATCCGCGGACCTTGAGCAACGGGACTCCATATTTTCCCTCAATTCTTCCAGCGACAGCGTCTGTGGAGTGACGAATGAACTGGAAGACGAATCTTACAGCTTCTACGAAAAAGACGTCGAGGAATGCTTGGAACATGAAGACTTCCGCGATTCCGCAGTCTACAGTGGCGACGACAATCGTCCGGATTTGGACGATCAGGTCGTGTACGAATCGATTGGGGAAATCAACCAGCAGCGGCTGTTGCGACCTCTCTCCCAGGTGGCTCGATCCATATCGTCGGCTTCGAGTAGTTCCAGTGGACCACCACCGCCGGTTCCGGTAAAGCCGGCTCACCTGGAGCAGATGAAGAAGATTAAACCGCGAGTGACGATGGCTACGTCGCCGCCGTCAGCCAAGGTGGGACCACCTCCGAAGAGCGGCTGGGTCCTGCAGCAGGTGAAGCGATTTCAGTAACTGCTACCGTATGCGTTTATTTAGGAGAGACTGATGAATGTGCCTTATTGTCCGAGTTTCAGAAAACCAAAAAGCCCAGGATTTCAAAGTCGATCTTCGTTTGAGTGTTTTACATGTTTTAGTGATAAATACCAAACGTGGCTCTAGTTTTGCAATTTAGCGAAGATGCGATTTAAATTCATCAAATTGTATTTATTACTTACTCTCTAGGATAGGTCTATTTATGGTATGTGATTAATATTCTAGATTTTAGCGAAAGTTACACTAACCCAGAAATTTTAGATGCGGTAAGGCTCAAAGCAGGAGGTTAATAGCGAGTTATTATGTGGAATTACACAACACAACAATTTTTAGCCTACAGCGAAGGTCAGCATGCGCCATATTGAATGAAAGCAATAGATTTTCAGCATTGATGCAATACACTAAGTAATAAAATTTTAATCTTCATTGGAAACGTGTGCAGGTGTTATGGCTTATAGAGAAATTTCCTGACATAAGATATTACTAACTAATACAACCATTCACTTCTCTGCATTTTGATAATCGCAGTTAGGTCCTTATGATTCTGAACGCTAAATATGTACAATCATAAGTCAAGATTAGACTGCAGTAATGGTGTTTGCGATATTTGGCTAATCAGTCTTTAATCGATTGCAACAAATGTGCAAACTTTGTCTGACGATTCGATGTTGGTTAGCATACAGGCACAAACGAAGTGACAGACGACTAACTGGCGAAGAAATCCATTTAAATAATTTGGTTCATTGTAGTAGAATTTTCTTGGAAGCTTGTGCCATCATTCACCAGATGGGCTAGTTTTTTTGTTTTGATTTAAACAAAGTTGATTTTGTGTACATTGATTCTTTGACAGTGTGCAAAGAGTGCGTATCATTTTGTCATTTTTTATGCATTTCAGTCTTGAGTAGAGTGAAAGAGATAGAACCAAAATATTCTAGTACATTTGGTTTCAATCCAATAGTAGTGTTGCCATGTGGTACAATCCAGTAGTAGTGGTGTTGCCATGTGGTACACTGAAAAATTGCAATAGAAGGTTAGTCACCAAAGTTTTCGAGCCGCTCCGTCTGTCACTTCGTTTGTGATACAGGTATGCACTAGAGTCGGTGTATAATGAGTCACGCCAAGAGAAAAACAGTTGAACTCGCATCACGGTTTTCGAAAGATTCCATTTTTTTTCACTTGGCAACAGAGGACTGCTTCATCAACTTCAAATGACTTCCAGCGAGCAAAAAAAATAGCGGCTGTTGTAAATCATTATATCAGTGATTTTGTCCAATCATCTCAATAAAAAATAGTAGAAATTCTCATTAATGATCGCTACCAAACGTATCCCATGACAATTTAATGATCACTGCGTGTTTATGATCATTTCTTCCATTATATTTTATATTTTATTGCAATACCTTTCGTGGACCTTTCATAGCATCGTAATGTTTGTTTACTTTGCACGATAGGTAGCCGGTTTGACAGTTCAATAGGTAGACTTGGCTTCACTCTTGGCGTGACTCATTATACACCGACTCTAGTATGCACGAATGCGCATGACTTTTATTACAGAAAAAGCTCTCGCCATTCTTAATTCCCTCTAGTGGTGAGTAGAAGCAAAGTCGATAAAGCTTCGTTAGTGTTCTAAAAATTTCCAAATAATTTATCACCGCCGAAAAACTCTTTTGACGAGGTTAAGATTTGCTTAAATTTCATCTTCATAGAAAATGATTGTCATTTCAATAAAAATGTTTAAACCTCTCAAACAACCAGTTTCGATGATGACATTATCGCTATCGGCAGTGCATTATCATAGTAAGATGTCAAGGTCAATGCATCTCAAAGATGCAGCTATCTGCAGGCTTCATGTTACATCGACAGGTAAAACTTTACGACGTTTCCACAACGACAATCATAACTCATGGAAGCAAGGACAACTAGGAGCATACATTCCACCATATGCCAGCTCCGGATAATAACAGAGAGAATGCCGTTGCGCCACGTGGAATAGTTGGGCATGGATTGGATCCCGAAGTAGTCTAGTAGTTTGCTTCACTGAGAGTCAGAGAGATTCATAGAAGTGGTTTTGGAAGAGAAGAGAGCAAGATAATGAGAGCGGAGCCAAGGGAATTCTCGTGGGAGTTGTGTGGTTATGGATGATACATATTAGAGTGTCCTGAAAAAAGCTTTTTAACCGGTGTGGAGCGAGAGACGCTTTTGACAGAGTGGGTTTATTAACGATGCGATAAACAGATAAATAGTATTACCAGAATAATTTTCAATAAATCTGTATTTGCAGCTTGCTAAATGTACTAATCCAGGATTAATATACAGTCAACTCTCCACAACTCGGTATCAAGTTGTAGAACCATAGTAATTATGAATGTCATGGATACTGCGATGGATGCGCGTGACAAGTCCAATTGCTCCAATGTCGTCCGAACGTTGCTGGTCAATCCGACGGAAACGATTCAGAAGCACTACTCCTTTCTGCTCAATCTGGAAGAGAAACTGCTGAAGGTGATAATTCCGGTCAAGAAGCTCTCGGAGGTTTTCGACGTCGGAATGGATTATGCCAAGAAGGAGGATTCCAAGCTGAGACGTTCGGTTTTGCTATCGCGTTGGAGTTCCGGGAGAATTTGATCGCAGTACCTCAACCAGTGAAATTCGGTTTAAAAATTGTAAGTTAATTAGGTTGAAAGGGAAGCAATAACAAATCCGTGTGATTGTGCCGTGAAAAGTAGTTCGGTATTGTTCAAGTGAGTTTGGTTTGGTAGATGACCAATTAACCGATTGCTGGTGATTCGTTGCTGAAAAGTAGGGTCCTTACATAGCCACATTCTGTCACTCCCGAGCCGTAGCCTTAACATATAATTTTCATATGGTCAGTCAATCATCAGCTTGTCGGTTCCGAAACCTAAGATCCCGAAATCCACGAAGAATTAAAAAAATAAATTATTGACTACCGTAACGTATTAGCACAGACAAACAGACATAACAGATTGTATATTTCTCACTGTAAAACGCTGTACAGACTGGAGAGTTATAACATGTTATAACGGTTGTCAAATAATTACAACACAGAAACCACCATCAAGATAGCGCTATAACATGTTATAACTCTGTAGTCTGAACGTACTATAAAACATCGTCGCTAAAACATTACCACCATCTGTTGAGTACACTGTGGTGGGTAGTACGCTGAACATATGGCGGTAGTGTGTAAACGTCAAACGCAAGGGAATTGACTATGCACGCCACAGGTGGCGGTACTACCAACTACGATACTTTTAAATTGACCGTTAAATGCTTGTTCGATGAACAACTTGCGAGTGTTATGTCTGTTTGTCTGTGGTATTAGCCTACACACTTAATTGCATTCTCGATGTTCGGTACTTTTATTAGCGGACTATACTCGGCGAAACTATTAAATTGCTACAGATTCGGCTAGTTTACCATGTTTATACCGAAACAGTAATGTGAGTAACTGAAGACCAGTAGATAAATCATTTACTGTGTTTTGCTATTTTCATTACTGATATGTTCTGTAAACTTAAATTCTCTCCTGTGGCCAATTATTTCAGTAAAAACTCTTACTGACGTCTCGGTTATCATGCTACTTTTACTGAATGTTCATCACTTAATTACCGAACATTTGTTTAAATTTACTGAACAAACTGTTATTTTTGATTTCAAGTAGAACATCTGCCAAAAACTTCAAAAGCGAGCCATTTTGAATTGCTAATTTTGTCGTACGTAAACATTGAACTGTTTTTGTTTTCCTAAAAAATTTTCACTGATCTTTGTCTAAAAAAAAGGGAATATGGACGGAATTTTCGAGCGGATTGAAGCGATGTAGGAGCGAAGTAAATACTTAGTAAGTAAATTTACTTTAATTATGATTTCTCCGTAGAATACTGCGACGGTAGACGACTGCATAATCTGTTTTTCCTGCTGGCGATCGGTTCCCGGATACTTGGAAGACTTAGGACACCACTTATCTTGGCACATACAAAACGGGGATTTTCAATAGGATGCAATTTTTTTATGATTGCACCTTCCAAAGGTGTCATACGCGGTACACAAACCAAAAATCACTCAAGCGGCACATTAAGGAGAAGCATCCGTTGCTGTCGGAAACTTCTTCCCCAAAATTTAAGGAACTGCGGGAACCTCCTCTCCTTTAGTAGATCTATCAACATGAAAGTAACACCGGGGTGAAGCACAACCGTCCGAGGAAATACTTTCTCTCGATGAAATTAAAAAATAGCTTCGTTGAGCATTTGTCGCTTAGCTGGTGACGTTGGGCCTCCGCAAACCAAGGTTTTGGAAACTATCAAAATTGGTGAAAATGTTGTTTGGAAAGTAGCAGAATACTTGGAAAAGAAGGCTGTTATTTTCCTTGCATCAAAGGGCGTTGATATAAACAACGATGAGGCGCAACAGTTCTTCAATTCGGTCAGGAACATTCTTGGGTCATTTGTGACTTGTCCGGGGGTGAGATTTGAACTCATGACTTTGACGTGAGAGGTAACTCTATGACTAGAAGGTCCCGGAATAACTGTGCTACTTCTAATCTTAATCTGCGAAGGCGGGGGGGGGGGGGGGAGCTCGATCAAGCGGTGTTCTAAAAATCGATTCTAACGGTTTATGTTCATATTCGATACCCAAGTAACAATTTTGGTTTTATGAGGGTTCTGTAGACCATGAGTTAGACTTGTAGCATGCTTTAAAACCTCGATAAAACTGCAATGTTACTTGGGTAGTCAACTTTTTTCCGTATACGTATTGATGGAATTTTAGGCAAGCAAACCGAATGGCAGTAGCTTCCTTTTCAATTAGTGGGTAATTCATTTCTGAACGTGTCAGAGCCTTGGATGCGTATGCTACTGGGCGACCCTGTTGTAATAAAACTGCGCCAAGAGCATGTGAACTCGCATCCACTAAAAGCGTAACAGGAGCATTCACATCGTAATACGTGAGTACCGGAGACGATTGCATCAGATGCTTAATTTTCTGAAACGACTCTTCTTGCTCATGGTTCCATTCCCATTCAGCATCTTTAGACATAAGCCTCCGCAACGGAACTGTAACTTCTGACAAATTAGGAAAGAATTTCTCCATGTACGTTATCATTCCTAATGCCGTTTGAAGTTAAGGCTTGTTTGATGGTGTTTTGAGTTTGATGATAGCTTCCAATTTTTCAGGATAAGCTTTCAAACCACCGGCAGTCACAATGTGACAAAAAAATTAACACTTACTTGATTGAACAAACATTTATCCTTGTTCAGTTTCAATTCCGCTGTATGCAAGCGTTTGATGACTGCCTCCGTAATTGTCGGCAATTTATCCAAGCTTTCCGCATGTACTAGGATTTCATCCATCGAAAACTCCACCCCCTCAATGCCCTCCAGTGTATCACGCATAACTTTTCGAAACACTTCCGGAGCT